TTCGTGTTACGAGAAATAATCCCAACTCTGGATAATAATCTGAACGACTAATCTTAACGTTTCAATCTCCTCCAAGATCGTCTCATCCTGCTCGCCTCCAATTAGCAAACGAATCGAATAAGGGAAACGAACGAGGATCAATAATCGCGGTTGAAAACGCGTAACAGCGGATGCTGTATGGCTCATAATACCGAGACAGAGCCGGCCACCTAATGCTAATGCAACTACCATTAGCAAGTAGTGAATCGAATGTAAAGTCGGACGTAAGGTGGGACCACACAGGTCGACGTTGGAGGGTTATACGGGGCCAGCAGATGCAGTGCCCCATAAACAGCGGGGCGGGACCACCCAACGCGCCTGTTCCTTCGTTTCGTTCCTTCGTCTGTTTCCTTAATAACCACGATACCCTTGCCTGTTGCCCATCGCGAGAAACGCGTGCATACGCGCGACAGTTCGCGAGACCGAACGCGTAAAGGTGGCCCTACACTTGTTACGTGCCACGCCGCCATTACATAGAGATATATAACGATTCATAATTTTATAAACATCGTCGAAATTGGATATCAAAATTGAGGTATCAAGATTTTTTCTCTCTCTCTTTCTCTGCAAAAGAAATAAATAAGCAAATGGAGCAATATTTTCTATATTCAAATATAATTTCTATATTCCTACGTAAAAAAGAAAATATGAAAAAGTTTCACGAAGTATGAATTTGTTTCAAGAAGTTAAAATTAATTAAAATTCGCTCACTTTTCGAGTTCACTTTGCGAAACTCGCGAATTGTAAGGGATGGAAAGGGAATTTTATGATTTTTTAATTAGATGTCGATCGAAATTTGATTGGAGGATATGAAAAATCGGTGAATAATGATAATGGTGATACGACGCGTATCTTTTCCTAACGATTGTCATAATTTGATTGAAATTATGGGGGAAAAAGGATGCGATTAGATTAATTTTCTATGTTAATCTCGATCGTGGTTTGATTAATGCGCGAAAAGAAAATGATATGATCGAGATTGGTGTCGTAAAGTGACGCTTGTACCGGTTTATGAAGTTCGCGTGTCGCCGACCCGTTTCATCGAATTCGACCCGGGCGGATTTCTTCGCGTCGCCTGTTTCGACAACGTTTGTCACGTTGCTGATCACATCCCAGAATGGGGTGTATAAGATAGTGAACGATCTTTAGGTTTATACGATAGCTTTGGATATATCGTGAATACATATTCGTGAATACACGATCTGATTTCACAATGATAAGTAGACCGTGAAAGATCTTTGTGAAAATTCTTTTGAAATTAAATTTTGGATAATTTGTATATCTCTATTTTTGCATATATTGCGTTTTATAATATTTTATATTTTCCTTTTTTTTATTTATAAAAGAATAATTCATTTAAATTCAATAATAAAGCTCTCGTTATAAAATGCTGTTTAATTTTAATTTTTGAAAAGATTTTTGAATCGAATAAATCGTATAGAAAAATTTGTATAAATCTACTCTATTTCTCAAAATTTACAACGAAATAAACGAGGAAGCTGAATAAATTATCGAATAAACTATAAAAGTTGAACATTCGCGATAAGCAAATTTGATGAAATTACTGTTAATTCGACGAATATTTTTAAAAAGCCATTACAAAATCGGTATTGATTTACCGTCATTAATTAAAATTCAAGGCGTAACGCGATGTCGCACACAGATACACAAGCGTAAATGGTTGTAGAAGAGTAATGTGATATTTTACAATTCCCGGGCAGATAAACCGAATGATTTTGTATATCCGGTTGTACCGTGTCACGCGCATTAATTATGGACGACGATCAAAACCACGTGTGGGAAACTGGCTACCTGTCTTCAACCCGACACGTGTGCGCTTTCTCACAGACCCATCTTGGATATAATACCGCGTCAGATTGACTCTTGAGAGGAGATAATGACAGTCAAAAGCTACTTTAGCGGAGTAACGATGCTTGTTCATCGGTCTTTTGCCTATCGAATACGGTGACAGCGTCCAGTACGATTTATATCGGAAGACACGGGCAAAGAGTGGCGGAAAATAAGATTGGACGTACACATGTATACGCGAAATATAATATATCGTGGAACGAGATAAGGAAAGGAAGATAATTATCCAGATTAAGAAACACCTCGACGATTTTTATGAAATCGTTTTTATCAAGATCAATATTTTTTTCCACATTATGGAAATGTTAATGCATTCGCGAGGCATTTTCGAAGAATCGATTCCGAAACAAAAATTGATGTATCGGTTTAAGGTTTATTTATTAAGTTAGAAGCGTTATTAAATTTTTGCATTAGATGAAGAGAAGAATAGAGTGGAATGGCGGTGTAAAAGGCAAATTTTACTTTTATCTTTTATCTTTGCAATCGAATCCTTTCAAATTTAAAATTTTCAAGATATTTGTATATGTGAAATTATAACACGTTATTATTTTAATTTAGATCAATCGATATCAATTCGATAAAAGATTGTTTTATTCTTCCACGAATTCCAATATATTACAAATATTAATATTTTTCTCAATGAATGATACGAATTTATATTAAAGATTTCCTCTTCTATATGCTATATATCTCGATTCAAGTTTTTGTTAACATGTCATAGCTCGAAATATTAATTGTTGTTCCAATTCTTTCGATGATATATGATTCTCTTCTTGAAACTCTCACGAAAATCATTTTTTTCTTTTTACGATCTTTAGACCGAAACCATTTCTATTTCTCGACATCTTTTTTTGACGAGTTTCTGCTATAACGACTTGTACAATCTTTCATACAATTTTCAATTTTTTAAAAATTACACTTTATTTTCTTTAAATTTATAAAACATTTTCTAATCAATCATCGACACAAAAATCAAATTCATCTACTACCACTAACTGTACAAAAGCAATTCCATTTATTAAATTCTGAATCATTAATCTTCATCATCTCCTAAAGTCTAGAATCCACGAAATGAAATATTCGATTCACAATCAGCTTAATCGTGAACAGTTCGATTCACTTCCCCCTTTTTGTTCAACGAAATTCAACCCTCTCACGGCTTAGACACGTTCACGAAACATGATTTATATCGGCCTAATAGTTTCACGATGGTTCCCAAGCCAGCTTTCCAGAGGAGCCCATAATCCTTTTTATTACCTCAAAGACGTTTCACGGATGACGGGTCTATCTATGTGGAATTCAGGTATCATGCATCTAAAAAAGCTGGAGCCAAGGCAATAAAGTGTCCCGAAGAGTTCATAAAAGTCGCCGCTTTCACTGAAAACGCGCTCTCTTGTCTATTCGACAACAGCCACCGCGAGGCCATTAACTTTTACCTACACGCGATCCATCGGCTGTGTGTCGTGAACGCAATTTCCAGTATGTACCCTCTCTCTTTTTTCTTCTTCCTTTTCTTTCTTTTTTTTCTTTTTTTTCACCTCTTTGTTTCTAGTCACGCGTCCGTTACACACTTGTCTTCCTCTTCTGTTTTTTCCTTTCTTTTTCTTTCTTTTTTCTTTTTTTCCTTTCTTCTTTTTTTTTTTTTATTATTATTCTCCCTTTTCTTTTCCCTTTGTTCCCTTTGGAGATCTTGGACTTCTAAGAAAGCAGCAAAGGATTGTGAGTCCTAGGGATTTGACCACCCACGTGGTTACGGAGGCTTTACAGCCTCCTTGAATGTCCGGATACGGGATATTTTCGGTAACTTTAAACCACAAAATGTAGCACGAGATTATACTACAATGTTCTCCTTTTCTTTTCGCCTTTTCTTTTCGAGAGACGCGGGGGGGGGAGTGATAGGATAAACGGTAGCAGCAGGAAGCTGTTACGGATTCGATACGGGAGGAAAAGAGAGAGGAAGAGAATTGGATAAGATAATTCTTCTTTCTTTTTTTTTTGACTTAAAAGTTTTTTTCTCTTAATTAAAAGAATTACGTAAAATTTTAATAGTCTTCCTTTTGTTTGACAAGTTTTCGAGAAAACTGAACGTTAAAAATAAAATGTATCGATGTCTGAAAAAGAATATAAGATATACAAGTGTATTGTTTTGAATAATACGTATAGTATATTGTATATAAATTTTTTCAAATAAATAAGAACGGGATGTTTTTACATTATTTGATATACGAGTGCAAAACGATGAAATTTATCTTAAATACTTCTTGATGTTTTATCTTTCAAAAAAAAATCTAAAAATAATCTTTCTCGTGAGAATGATTTTTAAAAATTTTCCATCCATCGTTCGCGTAGAAATCGAGCATGGAAATTACATAATGCGTAAAGGCTCAACTTGAACAAAGATAGATTTTTCTTCTTTTCACGGTCCAGTGATCGATAAAGTAACGAGACAGGAAAAATCACGTAGGCAATTGAATCGATCGTTTTCATTATCGTAACAGGCGTGCGATTGATCGCAAATTATAGCTTGGTCATGCTCTACCTATTATTAATCAATTTGAGTAATACAAAGCTGTGTACATAACGTGATAAGGAACACAATGCAATTGCAATTTCTTGGATAAAATCTCTTGTCAAGGATCTCAATCGAGTTACAACTTGGTTGTTTCTTTCACGCAAGAAAAAAGACTGTTATTCATCGTGTCAAAGATCGTATGATGAATATAGATGAATTTCAAAGAGTAATGAAAAATTCAAGCATTCGTTTCTTCCTTGGACTCTTCAACTCATTATTATTATAGTTGATTCCATTTTTACTTGAAATTGGATCCTGTCTTTCTATTCGAAGTTGATAAATTAGTTGGGGATTCATTAATCACTTTGTTTAATCAGTTCCGAATTAATTGCTGTTTCTGACTTGTAATACATTGTATTTGCTAATCGTATGCAAATTAGTATGAATTCGAAATTTTGCGAGAGAACAGTTTTTCGCTTAACTGTGACTAATAAATAAATCTTTAAAATTTTTGAAAGTTACTTTAATTAATAATTTCTTGAATAAAATAATATTATATTTGTCAATGAAAGATTGTTTGTTCCTTTAATGCAATCTTTTCCTTGGAAAATCCTTTTAATGTTATCAATAATTTTTTACATATTTATAAATTCCAAATCTATATTGTTATTTGAATTTGGAATATAATTATGTTACAATATATTAATAAAATTATATTGAAAATTGTATTCACCTAGCTATAAGCTTTAAATTTAGTCATTTATTTTTGAACAGACTTACAGATTGATAAAATTGATTATTTCATTATGCAACAATCTAATTATTAGTAAAAATTAAAAGGAAATACCATTGAATTGCGAGGTTAATTTAATCACTTTCTTCTTTAACCCGATTCTGAAGATAATGTTGCCTATAAGCTCCTGTTGGATCATATTTTGCTTCGAGAAGAACCCATATTTCTGGTTTATTATCGATCAAGAATTGCACAACTTTATCGGCAATTTCTTTCTGTTTTTCACTGCAAGGTGAACACTCGTTCTCCAAAGCATCGGGCAGATTTTCTGTAATTTTAATCAGAAATTATTTACACGTTAATAAAATAAACTTCAATTATAATATCAAATATAATTTAATAAATAAACTGATATCTTTTGTACAACAACTTTTCTCTTCTATTTTTTCTATTCCATAGTACACAAAAATCAGGAAAATTTTGTGGCTAGAAATAAAATAAAAACAATAAGATTTTGCGTTGGAGGCGATCGAGAAAATTTTCTTCGAGAAAAAAAAAAAAAAAATATGAAAATCGAATGTATCATCCTCCAATTTAGCATCCCTTTTTCAAGTAGATCGCTTCCTTCGAGTCGAAAATCTTCGTGGCAAAGAATCAAGCGGAGCGATAAATTCTATGCACGAATAATTGTAACACGCGAGGATAATTTTTTCCGGCTAGGAAAGAACACCGATTTAATGTGGCGGCCTTGCTTCTCGGGAATAGTAACTACGCTCATAAAATTGCGGTCGACCGTGAAACGACGGCGTTCTGAACATCAGTAGAATATGCATACGAGCATATGCGAACGTATCGTAATTGACTCGTTCAACATTACATCCGAGCGTAGGTACGTTGTAACGACTTTCGCGATGATGCTCTGAAACGACACTGCTGCGGTTTTTCTCTTTCCTCGAACCGTAGTGAACCGTAACCCCTTTTATTCCCCATCTTTACTCCTTCCCTTCTTTTTTGCGGTTTTAACAAAATTACGATCGTAATTAATATTATTAGACACGGTTGTCAAAATATTCGAAGGGGGAAGAATAAAAGAAATATTATTTTACCTCCAAGCTTTTTTTTTTTTTAGAATGAATAGCACCATTTTGTCTTAGATACTAATTTTCATTTTTGTATGTAATGTCTGTAAAAAATAACGATATAATAATTTGATTAAATTAATTGCTTATTAAGAAGATTAATTTTTTAGAGGATTTAAGATTTGTCTGCCGAAGTTATTAATTTATTATATAATTATATATAGCTATGATATAATTTATACAAAATTTCTTGCTTACTCTTAAGTTCAGCAGCGTCGGGGGTGCACGGGCCTTGATCCAGCAAACAGTTCACGTACCCGTTCAAAAGTCTCTCGGTGTTGAGGACAACATCGATGTCGACGTTGTCGTACTTCGTCGTGTATTTGTCTTCTGAGAATACTTCACCGAGCAGGAAGCAAACAGCCACGAGAGCAATCAGTATAGTCTTCATCTTGGGGAGAGAGATTCACCGTTGTTGACTTTTTCGATTACTGAACGTTGAGCTCGTTAGCGTGGAGATCTTATATATATATATATATTTCGTTGCATGGCTCGTTAGTTGCACGAATTACTTATCATACCAAAGGAAATTGTATCTACTACGTAATTCGTTAGGAAAAATGCGCACGAAAGGGTCATTTCCTCTTGAACGCCGAGTTTTGATGAATCAAGCGATTCATTGAATATGAGTTTATTTGAACTTGGAATGGATTATGAATAAATCCATTTTATTATATTTTAATATTTTATAATATCAGAATATTAAAATTGTAATATTAGATGAAATAATAAGGTTCGAAAATTGCAAATCTCTCTTCGTAGAGCCTTAAATTATTAAAAATTATTAAAATTATGAAGAGAAGATAATAGAAGAGGTAAAAAGAGAGTGATAGAGTAATAGAGTATCGATATGGTGAAACAATGATTAAATTCAATATCCTCCTTCCAAGGGGCATTATTTTTATCGTACATATGTGAACAGAATTTAACCAATTTGCGAAATCTCATGTCCTCGTGTATTCGAGGGGATTCATCGTATAATCGCAACATCCATTTCCTTGAATTACGTGAAATGGATGTAAATTGTTCTGGGACTCGTTATACTTGAGCTAACGTTATCTTGATGCAATGTTGATTTCATGGAAATTTAATAAAGAGGCGCATAACTCCCAGGAATCGACAAACCATTGTATTGCTAAAGTAGAAATGATTCTACTTCGAGACATTTTGTATTCCATCCCAGGATCCCGCGTAAATTCAATATGGTAAAATGTACGTTTTAAATTCTCGTTTCTTCTTCATGGTATCTGAGATTTCTTGTCGATGTTGCTACGCGAGATTTATGCGTAGAGATGACCTTACTATCTCCAATGATATAGTAATTTATCTAAAAATAACCAGTGAATAGATTCGTGATTAGTATCGTTAGAGCCTTGAGAAAAAAAAAAAAATTGGTGCTACGATAAACGTATTTTTAACGTAATACGTATTATTGATAATCGAGATTTGTATAAATTTATTGAATTATTAAGTTTTCCTTTGTACTCAAATTTCATTTATTTAATTATAAATCGAATTTATTCTAACTTTCTTTTTTTTTTTATAAAAATTTGTATTCAATATTAAACATCAGGGCATCTTTTTCATTTTTCATATTTCTCGGAATATAATTTCTTTTAAAAATATTTCTTATCCTCAGGAATCATTTTTATTCGCTTCTTTTCTGTTTTCATTTTCCACTTTTCGGAATTGTACTCAACGATTAATATATAACTGACATTCAATTAAAAAAAGTATTAACATATGAATTATTAACATATTTCATCTCCAACTTCTTTCCTTTATCTCTATCATTTTTTTCAAGAAACTTAAATTAATATACTGAACAATACACATATATTATATCCTTGAATATTGAAGATGTACTTCAAATGTGAATAACAATTAATTAATATCGTCCTATATAAACTAATATCCTCTTTTATAATCGATCAAAATCCTCGTAAATCTAGAAATCACTGCGTTGAGTGTCATATTCTTCCGTCTCCGTGTCAGAGAGCTCTGCGCAAGCGTAGCAAATCCTCCCTACATCCCTCCAACATTCCTCGCAATACAAGAATGGACAACTCGGATTGGGGCAGGGCCGATACCTTGGCCCCTTCCTGGGCTCCGGATCCTCGCAAATCAAACACCTCTCCCTTGCGCATTCGAAGTATCTCAACCATCCAAAACGTTTCGGCCACTTGAGCCTGAGCGCCAACCAGAAATCAATCTCGTACTCCAAACGGCGTGTTCTGGCCATGTTCCTCACCTTGGCCTTCATGAACTTGGCGTGCATAAGCCTTCGCCGTAGAGTCTCGTTGTAGAGGTACAATACCCGCCTCTTCTCCCTTCTTCGATAAAAGAACGAGCAAATGCCGCGACGCATCCTCTGCGTGTATATGGATCCGAAGATGAGAAGGAAGACCAAGAAGAAGGTACCGTAGATCTTGAATATTATGTAGCCAGGAAGTTTCGTGGGTCGTGGTAGGCAAGCCTTGTTCGTTACTACGGTTTTCACCCGTTTCTTCACGTTGAAACCGCGGACCGCGCTTCTAATCAACGACGCGATCACTCCGGTACCTCGGATTTCCAGGCTCAGATCGTGGTGGCCTCTCTGAAAGAAAAGAAATAAAGGCACGTTAGAGGGGTTATGTTATGTTTCTAATTCACAGGTGTGGATAAGAATTTTTTATTTCAAGATATTTCATATTTGAATTAAAGGAAGAGAGATCGAAGATCATTTGATACTTGGAATATGTTGGACGAAGTTTATTCATTGAGTTATATGGAAACTTCAATTTGACTTGTTTTTCAATTAATTATGAATTTCAAAAGTATCCTCCTCGATGCGTAATAAATTCGCATTTAATTTGATTGAAGATTACTTCTTAAGATTATCATCTTACCTGAGTATATTCCATGTAAGCGTGCCTTCTGATTATATCCAACACTTCGTAGAATAGCCAATCCAGGATTACAAAAATGGTGACGATGATGAATTCAAGAAGAAGTTTAACCAGCTGACCTACCAAGTGAAGTCCTTCGATTTTGGTCGGTATCGGATGGTAGGGGTCGATGAACTTCCTCTTCTCGAGTTTCTTGAACGGCAACAAAGTCAAACTGCCACGAACTTTCCTTCTCGCGTCTATTCTCCGGAAATAAGACGTCACGTAGACGTTGTCGAATTCGATATCTGATAAATATTTGTCATTGTAACTCAGAGCGTCGAGAATGATCTTCAGGAATATAAACGACAAGCATCTCTTTATGAGGGTCATCACGGACTTGAAAAGTTTCCTTCGTACAGAGAATTCGTGTACAACAGCTTTGGCAGCGTCCTCGGTATCTTGAAGATCCAAAATCACAGGTGGTATTTTCACTTTGTATTGGAGTTTCGCATCTTTCAGGCTCCTGCTGAATTCGTCTCGGGCACCTTTGAAGAATGATCGTCCCGTTGAACTTTAACATAGGAAATCGAGATTCACAAGCTGTGGTTCAAGTGCAATTGACACGTGCAACGTGTTAAAGGAAGAAGAGGAATCTTTTTTAACAAAAAAAAAAAAAAAAATTTCTTCATCATTCGTTATTTGATCAAATAATTGAATTTATTTGAGCTCAATTTTTTATTTTGATTCGTTCCGCGTGCATAATTTTTTGACAACTATTGATTAATTGTTGAATTTAAATCTGAGGTTCAATCGTATCCATTTATAATCATTTATAATCATTGTCAGACACACGTCGTTCAATATTCATTATGGTTTTTATAAATCTTTTTTAATGCTAATATCTATCAATCTATTCTCAGATATCTCTTACAGATATACTGAGAAATGATTGAAGAATCGAAATGTCAGAAAAGATGAAAAATTTTTGAAAAAAAAAAAAAACAATAAATGACGTATGCATCTTTTTAAAAAATGAACAGAACGAATCGTGAACAACTTTTAAAAATCAGAAAGCAATTTATTTTGCATATTTAGTTATTTTCAAATTTTGAACTTGGCACATGCATTGTTCAATAGAATTTTAATCTTATAAAAAAAAAGGTCAAATTTTTCTTCAAATTTTGCTAATTTTCGAAATAATCTAATTATATTGAAATATTTAAAGAAAAAATTAACGAATGTATTCAATTTTTCGATTAATTTTTATGAGATATTAATAAGAAAGTTAAAAGATTTAAATACGTACTTTTTAAAGCGACGTATCCCTCGCCGATACCACTATCGACTTTTCCCTCAGGATCACAGATACTAGAACCACCCAATGCTTGGACCAGATTACAAACGAAAGTCAGCTTCATTGGCCAACATATGAGCCAAGCAACAAATACAGACACTTTCTCGTAACATTTGTCATAAGCGGTGCCAAACATGTCCCTAAAAAATATAAATTTTATACAAATATAAATTCTAATTAACTATATATTTATAAATTTAGATATATCGTTGGAAATAATAGAAGAGAATTTTTCGTGCCAAGTGTAATAACAAATGACAATTAGACAATTTTATAATTATAGTAATTTTTAAACACACCTACATCTTTGTGCACCTCGGCTAAGTTGCTCTTCGCATCGAGCTTCAATCTTCTTCTTATACTTAGCTTCGTACACTTCACCTTTTGATTTGGCACTTTCAACTTTCTTCTCGTGCTTTTCCTCCATTTCTTTGCTTCTTTTTGAGTCACCTTGCAACTCGTCTAGATAATCGTTCTCCTCTTTTAACCGTATCATTTCTTCTTCCCCTTCTATTTCTTCGACAACAGGACTCATCAAATCCCTGATCGAGGAGAGGGTGTCTTTTATCTCGCTTGCATCCGCTTTCATAGCATGGATTGCCTTTTAAACAAAGGTAATAATATTAATAAATTTCATTACAAAAATATACGAAGCAATGAGATTAAATACATATGTATATATGATCTGATTTTTTTACACTAGATATTATTAATATTAATAAAGTGTTATTTATCAAATATACTAATTATTATCGATATTAAAAATATACATTCAATGTTATTCAAACTTTATAATATAATGTATTATATTTTATCAATATACGTGTACTTTTATTCGTATTATAAAATTAATTAAGTTAACTAATTAATTTTATATATTGTAAAATATAATAATAAATATTATTTTTAATTATTAATTTGTTGTTATTTACTTATTATTTCTAATAATCATAAAAATCGTATATTATGTATATTATTAAATCAAAGTGTTCAGAATAATTATGAATGTGAGTAAACATGTTATATAAGTATATGTAATGTACCTGTTGAAATGGTTTGAACATTAAATCGAATCTTGTCTTGGTAAGATTGTATGTCAGTTGTGATGTGCATCCAAATGTTCTTATTACTTCCTTAGTGTTAAATAACAAATTAAACAATGGTCCAGCAATTACGTATCCAAAAATCAGTGCTCGTAACACGCTTCGTCCAGCTCGTCCAAAAAATGTTGGAATCGTTAAAATGGAAATACACCTCACCTATTATAATAAAAATAATATTTCTTATGTACATATATTATTTTATATAAATTATTGTATTACATTTTCAATAATTCAAGAAATATTTAACAATATTCTTATAAAATTTATAATTTGATTGAATAGATTATTAAAAATGAATTGAAACAAATTTTCAATTTCTATTTCTTTTGTTTATTATAAATTTCTTTTTATTTGTCATGCATAAAATTATATGCATAGAATAATATATAAAATAGTCGATGGAAAAATATTGTGTATATATAAATATCAATCATAATATATCAATCAAATTAAAAATACATGTGATACATTTAATCGTAATTGATTCAACTGAATAATATAATTATTGCAACTTATATAACGACATTGCTAAATGTTTGTTATCGTTTAACACATTATAATGTGTGCTAATAATAAAATAAGCGAGCAAATCATTAGAATATCTTATAAAACACGTTATTGCAACACTTATAATATCAGTTTCATAGAATCATATATATTAATTACAATTGCATAAGAAATAAATATTTTCGCGACAAAACTCTATCAATTAGATTAACATATAAAAGATGGATAAAATTTGATCAGAATTTTTCTTTATAATTATACAAAAATTTGTATCTGTTATGCAAAAAAAAAAAAAAAGAAAAAAGAGAAAAATAATTATGAAAAATAATTGTGATTGTTAATTTCAAAAATGGAATTGAATTCATTATTTTAATTTTAATGTTATTTTGCGTTACATAAATTAATCATGTATTTAACAAAAAAAATATTTATTAGAAAAACAAAATTAATGTTTGCTATAGATATTATTTAAAAAAAAAGTTAAGAATCAAAAATTTATCATTCACGCGTTATTTTTGCAATTAGAATTTTTATAAAGAATTTTCTAATTAATTTGATTTAAAATGTTTAAACACATAATACACGAAATGATCTTGCTATTGTTTTAATGCAAAATTAAATCGTTTATAATTTAAGAAATAAATTCTTATCTGATAATTTTACATATCAGTTTGTTTCGAATCTTCTAAAGTTGTCTCAAGAATATAATACCTTGTGTGCACTTTCTCCATTTATCTTTTCTATTTATCTTTTTCCCCAAATATTTTTTTTGTTATCTAATAATAATAATAAGAAAAGAGTTAAGGCACAAAATAATTGTTATATAAATCATTTTATATATTTAATTTTACTAAATAAATATAAATAAATTATATTTAATAAATATCTAAATTAATATTTAAATTCAATAACAAAAATTATAAATTTTATTTCCACATTAGAGCTTTCATTTCGCGTTTGTAATGAAAATAAAAATAAAATTTAATCAATTCTTTAAAATTTAATTAAAATTTTCCTCTCCTTAAATTAAATATTTTAATATCTTTTAGTTTTATGTTAGAACATTGATCAAATTATTTTTCATTGAAAACTGAACGTGTTAATAATCACCTGAATCGAAACAGCACATCCAATCGATAACATCAAAATCAGAATACCACCGAGACACACGGTGGTATATGCGTCGAATTGTAAATCAACGATAATGAGTTCGTACAAAAGAACACCCATAAAAAAGCCAAGAAAGAAGCCGATTATGGCACGTGACGTCTTGTGAGTGCCTATCGGGTCGAAAGTAATGTTAAACAAAGTTGGGAAATGCTCTTGGTAATACTTGAAAAAATTCTTCTTGAATTTCTCCACTCGGAGACCGATAATCGTTACATTCTCCATTCTTGGTATTTTTTTTTTATTTTGCGTGGAAAAGTTCAACTTCCAATATTCTGCGTAATCAATTTGTGCAACTCATGTGCGACGCGACATATAGTCGCCTTATTGGTTAGAGAAGAAATCCTTGACATATATTTTCGAGTCCTTACTTTACTTTCACCTTCTCCAAAGTTCTTGTTAATTATCAGAGTCAAACACCTTGTCTCTAAAGTCGAGGAATTTCAACAGGATTTGTTTTTGACAAATATATATATATATATATATCGAGGAGAAAAATTCGTATTTTGTAACTTTTAGTGCAGTGTAGGAGGGAAGAAATTTTCTATTGGATAATCTCATTTCAAAAATAAATTGCTGTTTTTTTTTTTTTTTTTGACAAATGAATTAACGATCTTCTATTATTCTTCTTCTATTTTCAATTTCCATCTTGATTTCCAATAGCGGTTAATTATGGCAATTGAGAATTATGGAGATTAAATTTATCGCTGAATAATGAAATATTGAACTTTGCTTTGGCTACGGGAGAAAGTTTAAACTTTGAAAAGGAAATACACGATATTCGTGTATACTATTCAAATATAGTATTGCATAATACGATTAACGATTTATAAGGGAAAGTTTTTGTAGAAAATAAAAGATAGATAGAAAAAAATATGAATATTGAAAATGAGATACAAAAAATGAAGATTTCTCTCTGCACTTAAATTGCAAGATATTATTATTTTTAAGAATATTTTTAAATTCATGATTTCATCGATGATCAGTTAATATTACTGTAAAATATAATTTAATCTTAACTTTATTCTAAATATCATCTATATGTAAATTAAAATTTCAATCATTTAATTATATGAAATATTTATAAAAAATATTTTAATAAAAAATTATCTGATCATTTGAAAAAAATCACAGCTAAAAAATTAAATTACTTATGCATTCTAATGCTATGATAACTTTGTAAATACTTTATAATGAGACTTCTTCTGTCAGTAAACATTAGACACGAGGAAAATAGAGGACTTCATGTCGAAATTGAATTATTAAAATTACAAAGATCGCTTTCAAAATTATATAATCAGTCGTCGTTCGATATTTCTTACCGGTTTTAAAATGATACGATGGATGACCATATATCACACGATGAATACGAAATAATGCTTTTTTTTTTTTCGTGCATGAAATTGAAAACAGGAAAACGAATTTAAAATTTTATCACGTCTGGTCAACTGATCCCCTCGTCGAAATTTTTTTTTTTTTTTTTTCAAAAACAAACATTTTCATAAATTCACAAAAGACGATTTTATTCCTGTTATAAACTTACACTAATTGTCACGTCGAGATTGTTTTCCGCTTCTTTCATATTTACTACAACTGCTTATTATATCGTCTACATATATTAATCAAGATTTTGAATAATTTTTATAAATGAATCTTCAATGATGATTCTCAATTTATTGAATTAAACATTAATGCCGAGCTTCTTCGCTTCTTCCTCGAATTTGACTCTATACTTCTTGTCTGGGTCGTATTTGTTGGCAAGGGCATCCCACAATTCTGGCTTATTCTCGACCAAGAACTTGATCACTTTCTTGATCACGTCTCGTTGCTTCTCAGAGCATTTTTTGCAATCGGTGGCCAGAGCGTCAGGCAAGACTCCTAAAAAATGGAATTATTAATTAGAGAAAAATAATATCAAAATGAAATATACGATATATGTGAGATTAACACATTAATAAATTAATAAGCTATATTATATTCTACTATGTTTTTATATAAAAAACTCTGTTATGTTTTAACTCTGTATAATTTTATATTATGTATGACTTAAAAATTGACATCTTTTTTCTAAATTTTATTCAATTTATCATTGTATATTATATTATTTATTATTACATCGTCAAGCTAATACCAAAATGATTTATTTGCAATAATCGATAATTATTTGAAATATTAGGAAACATATAAACATTAAAAAATTCGAATCAATCAAATAATATCCATTAAATAATAAAACTCAAATAAATAATAAAAATCAAATAAAATTATAAATTAAAAAAGTTAAAAAAATAATATAAATTTCTAAGAAATTTCAAAATTTATCATACTTCTTATAGTTTGTTAAATATAATTTGATTTTTTTCTTTCTTTCTTTTGTTTTTTGTTTTTCTTTATAAATAAATAATATTTTGTTATACGTACGTTTGAGTTCATTTCCTTCTGCTGTGCATCTTCCTTCATCCATCAAACACTTGAAGTAATTGTTCAACAAACGATCACTATGCAGAATTTCGTCCACATTAATATTGTCAAATTTAGTTGTATATACAGGTTCGTCTGGACGAGCAGCCACGAGGACAATGGCCGCCATAAGGACCAAACAAACTATTGAGACCTTCATGATTGCTATTAAGAAATTAAGAGTTACAATTAAAAACACTTTTATAAATCCAAATCAAGGCATCCAAACATTAAAAAATAAAAATTATTTTTTCCTGAAACACCATTTGAAAATTTAATATAAAAAAACATAATAATTTCGAGATTAAACAAAATTTATATTTTAAAATTAATTTTGAAAAATCTAATACAAGATTAAAATAAATTTATAACGTCATTAGACACCGATTCGTTACGATAATCAAATATTAAATGATGAATCCTTACATTTGCTGTATAAATTGATCGATATTCAAAGATAATTAAAGAATTTATGAAGTAATTCATACTTTGTAGACGCGCGAAACACTCACCTGGACGTGTTAGCTGCTATTAGTTGTACGATTGTAAAAGTCCTCTGGCTCATGGCACTTATATATGTCCGCTTACTGGTGGTAGGATTAATCGTGGAGGTCCATAATGGTCGAAGGTGGGAACAATGACGACCGAACTCTACCTGGAATACTCATACTGTACTTTTACCTTCGTTTTATTCGAACTTCTGGAAATATTTGATTTTTTATTATTACGCATTTTAATGAATTTTTATCGTACTTGATTAATCAATGTGACAATGTATCCGTATTTACTTCTAGTTTCCATTCATGCGAAAAATATATTAGTATTTTTTTTTTTCTTATAGGAAATTGAATAATTAAAGAAGAGGAAATAGCGTGAAATAATAATATTTTGTTTTTTATTCTTGAGCTTAATATCAAAAATTTGAACAAATAAAAAGACCAAATGGGAAATATAGAATAGAATATGAATATGAATATATGAATTTTTTTACTTTTTTTTTTATTTTTATTTAAATATGAGGTATTAATTAATCATAGTTATAAAAACTTTTCTTAAATAATAAGATATAAGAAAATTTTATTATATTATTAAGAATACGATTTATTTGTTTTCTGCAATCTATTAATAATTTATAATAATTTATTCTTTTTTTAACATATTTAATATTTAATTTTAAACTTATATATTCTACCATTTTTTTTTATGACGATTGTTGGAAGATCATAATAATTAAAAGTGTATACTTAACATAACGAAAGAATGTAAGAGAACGTAAGAAAAACATTAAAAGTCTTTTTATTTCTATTTTCTTCCGTCACATTGAGAAACAAAATATTCGAATAATATATTAATTTGATTTCGATATTGCGTTCAGTTTTTTAGTTAATTAAATCTTTAACAAGAATGAAGAAAAAAGTTAAGAAATTTTATATTTTTTCTTATATATATTACTGAGTAAGATTACATTATGAAAATGATCATTAATTACGTAATATCTAGTGTAACACAAATTCAATTAGATAAATTTAAATATGTTTAAAAAATTATAATTTTAAAATTAATTCACATTGTGATATTTTTATTGCATATATTTTTTCAATTTATATTTTATTCACGGTATAATAACCGCAAATAAAAAGTATTCATAAAAACTTGCTCTTCAACTTCTAGTTAATCTGTTTATTATGCTTAAAACTAGATTTGAAAATAAAAACCATGATTTTATATGATTACGCATTAAATTGAAAGATATATTGCTTCCTTAGTTTTATTTTTCATATTGTATTTTAAACTAAGTGTGAATAATTAAAATAATTATAACTATTTAAAAAATTTGTTATTAAAATTATTAATTATATCTTAAAATATTCGTATAATATATAATAAGTGTTATGTAATATCTTAAAATAATTTTCTGTTAATAATTTTCTGTTAGAATAAAACAATAACAATTAATTTGAAAACATTAAATAATAATTGAAATATAAAATCAAAATATTATGAATTTAATAAAAATATTAAACTATTAATATAAAAATATTATAACAAATAAAAACACGTGTTATAAAAATAATTTGTATTTAAAAACATGCTAATCTAATTCTGAATTCAAAGTTATTTTTCTCTTCAACAAATAAACTGAAAATAAACTAAATTTTTAAGCCAATCTTTTTTATTTTGTGCAATAAAATTAGAAAAATAGATTTCATTTCTAAAAAAACAAGATAAATTATTTTTTATTCTTCTATAAACATTTATTTATTTATTTTTGAATTTCATCACTATGAAAATTATTTTATTTATCCGATAATCTTATCCTATGTTAATTCATAATCATTTAAATAATTCTGTCATAAATATCTTTATGTATTTATTTCTAAAACTTTCATTCAACGAACACTGTCAGAAATTGAAATAAACAGATAAATGCGAGATCTCGTGTATGATAATAATATTAGAATATTTTATTCACTCTCAGAGAGAGGAATTTATTATCAGAATTTCATGGAATAGATGAAAAAATGTTATATTAAACAATCAATATTACTAAATAAAAGTATGATATTGAAACAATTTAAAGGAAATAATATCAGAATAAATTTATAAAACATGGAATGTATTCTGTAATTCTAGATTGAATCAACAATGATTCATTTAAAAATAATTATTGAAAAGAATGTCTTTAATGAAAAATATTCTTGAAGAATATATGTTATGTTATAATTTTTATCAGGATGAATAATTACAATAATTATAGTGATAATAATCATTATAAGTAAAAAATTTTTAATTAATTGATTTTTATTTTATGAATCATCATTTTTATCCATACATCACCATAATTAATGTATTTTTTATTTTTCTTAAAGAATATAAAATGATGTCATTTATTTTCGCATGAAAAAATAAAAAAAAGCAATATAAAATATACTTATGAATCAGTAATATATTTTTCTTATTTTCTTCTTGAATTTTTCTTTTTTAATTTTAATAAAAAATTGTATTTATTTTGAATTGATATTTTGTTTTTTAAAATCATATAATATATTTTTTTTTATTTCACTATATAATTTATAAAATATTTATTAATATTAATGCTTTAATAAATTCAAATAATTAACCGAAAATAGTATTGGTTAAAAAAACGAAAAAAGAAAATACTTTTTTAACATATAATATATAAATACGAATATTATTCTCAAGTGATTTAAAAAAAAGAAGAATAAGATTTAAATTATTTTCATGAAAAATGAAAAAATTACGATATTTATACAATTTTAACGTAAATAAAAAGATTAAAAAATGCAAAAAAAATATTTAAATTATCAACGAAGGACGTATAAAATGAAAAAAAACGAAGTTACAAAGACGTCAGAAACTTTAATTCAAGGAAGTTCACGATTTCTAACATGACGCATTATACGACACTCGTTCGATCGTGATCCTTTATGCGAAACATAGGTTACACTGGCAATTATAATAATAAATTATTCTAATTGCGATATTAACTTTACATATCACGTACCGAAGATCGTGTGAATAATACGTATAAGGTTGAAATTTTAAAATTTAATTTTTATGTTAATATAGTTGAATTGAATAGTATAATAAAAAGGAAGATTGCTTAGAAGCCATTAAAAGAAATGTTTTCGAAGTTAATCAAGGTCTTAGAAATTGCAGATATTTGATTAAGATATCTTTCTATTGTATAACAATTGATAATTTGATAATTAAGAATATAAAATCATGTAATTATTCAAAGTATACATAATATATTGCATAAAATTGTAATATTTGTATATTTTAATTAATTTAACATTCAAATATATCAATATGAAATTATATTCGATAATTGTGATAAAAGTTAATAATTTTTTTACTATCATATTTTGTATTTTACTTATGTGATAAATGTCTCAAATATTATGAATTGAAGATATGTGAAAAATTAAAGATTAAATCTTTAAATTGTAGAAGAAAAATTGTGTAACGATGTTTTTTTTAAAAAATTTAAAAGGTAAGATTTACATTAAAATCAAAAGAAACGTTCATAAGTCTAGGAATTGACCGGAGTAAATGTTTGCTTGAACAGCGAAGAAAAAGATGTTTTCTGTGTAATTCTGACTCATCCTAATACTTACTAAATATTATTTAAACAATTCATCTTCAAATATATTCATATTATAAGTAATCCTCGTAATAAAAAAAATACGCAAAAAATAATTAGTTTACAAAAAAATATATTATAGAAATTAAAAATATTCTGATAATATTTATATACAATACTATAAGATAGATACATATATAATATACATATATTTGTTATCTTGTTTTAATAAAAAAATCTAAAAAAGAATGATAAAAATATATATATCGATATATTAAATAACCGCATATTTAATCATTTTTAATATTATTTTATTTATTTAAATAATATATAAATATTTATTTAAATAATAAAATAAAATTTGATGAAAGAGATAATTTATCAACAAATATTATTCAGCAAAATTTAAAAAAAATTAATCATTTCGAGATTATGATATATGAGAAAAGGATAATTTAAGGAATAATTTAAAAAATGGTACGAAATTAATAGAAACATAATTTTAAGGGAAAATACCTATTGTACAGTTTATTTTATACATTCAACGACTGTTTGATTCAAGTACAAGAAAGCATTTCGCTTTGAAATATTAATTCTTCCATTACTTCTAGAACAATGAGGAGTAACAAACTCGTTGTTTGTTATACAAATACATTCCAGAATAGAAATCCTATTGAATTCTTCAAAACATTTCGAATCCTTATAACCATTACACTCACTCTTCAATTAATGATCACACTCATCTTTTTTTAACCAAAAACTTTCACATTTCATCATTTTTCGATATGGAATAAAAAAAACAATGCAAATTTATCCCCTAAATTTTATAAACGACAGTGCGCTTGTGAATTTGTTATAAAGGTCACCGAAATGTTTTTATATTGAACTTTATTTTCTTGAACTTTTTAAATTACTATATCTTTAAGTAACTACAGGAAGGCGTATCGTTCTCTTCGTTCGAGATAACATTGTTTATGTTCATTCATTTGAACAGTCTATTCTTAATGGACCATTTCTTATAGAAATATTACAGTCAAACGACGGATAAATCGATCCGTGCAAATTATCACCAACGATTAGGAATCATAAAAAAAAAAAAAAAAAGAAAGCCGAAGAAAAAAAATTAACTTAAAAAATTTTCAAAATATTTGATTTATAAAAAATATGCATCGAAAGCGTCTTAAAAGTATGTGGAAGTCCCAAATGAAGCAACAAATAAAATTCAAACTATTATGAACAAAGAATATAATTATGCAATGAAAAACAGAACATAGCAATTAATTTTTAAATTGTTTTCCAAATAAGTAAATAAAAAAAAAAAATAAATAAATAGAATAAATTTTCAAAAAAGCGTCTATCGAAGAATGATTATGCCCTTTCATGGAAACTTAGGGCAGAAAATAGAATTATATTGAACAAAAGGGATAATAGTCTTCTACTCTCCATAAAAAATATGAGCAGCTATTTCCCTATTTTGTTATCTAACTAGTGCTTAAGCAATATACCACAAGTTATTAATTATTAATTATGAATTATGAATATTTCATTTAGAAATGAAAAGTATTTTTTAAGACTTCTTTTTCTTTTTTTATACATATGATTTTTTTTATAATTACTTACAATTGTAAGCAGTTTCTTTTTTTATTTAT